CACCATCCATTGTTACTAGCTGGTGACTTACGTATGTATGTAAGTCAGATTTTGTATGTATTTAAGTCAGTTTAACTAGTTAGAATTACTGGTCTTAGACAAAGTTCTCATAGACTGTTCTCAGGTGTATAGATTGACTGCTCTTGGAGCTAGTGGCCTAACCTGGTACAACCTAGGTAGGGTTGATCTAGTTCAGAACAAGGTTATCTATGTACAGAAACAGCTAAGGCTGTTTCCTTCAGTAGAGAGTCTGTGTGTAAGGCCTCAGGAAAGGCTGGCTTGCTAAGGCTGAGACTGTTCGGCATGTTCCATTTAGTCACACCTTTGCAGTTCCTGATGTTTACTGTGTGTTAAAGGGATATAGTGGGGGTAGGGGTATAGATATAAGACTCTATCTTCACCCCCATGGAGGTCACAGACTGGAGGAGACAGACAAGCAAACTAAATACAGAGAAACGGTATATTAGCTAGCATGTCATGCTGTGGGAGCGCAGGATGAACACTCAGTGGCGATTGGAAGTGTGGAACAAGACCCATCCTCACTCAGGTTTTTCTGCCCCAAGGATGTGTTAAAGAGAAGAAGTTCAGTGCCACATTTATATCCTTTGATATCCTTGTTATCTTGAGGTCTTGTTTAAAAAAATTACCCAAAACAAAACAAGAAGTGGCATTACGTAAAGACTTCTCTCCTTAAAGGACTCTTGTCTCTGAGTGAAGAGAGAGTATTGTTTGATGCTCAGATATCTTCTCCAGTCAGTGCAGTGAGTATATCTGAATTGTTTGAAAAGAACCAGTTCCCCCTCCTGTCGTTGGAGGGGTGTGGCCTTAATGCTGGGGCGGAGATCCTGGGAGAACTCCCTCACCCCTCTTTAAACGTCTGCCTCTCCTCCCCCTGCACGGGGTCCTAAGCACTAATCCCCGGATAATATTTGGATTCCCACTTTTCTTCCTGGTAATCTGGAAGGGAGGACTTCGGGAACCCTTTCATCTGGTGGGATTCTCAGTGGGGATGCTTATGGGTGAGAGATGCCCCCTGGAACACTGTGACTATTGATTTGCTCCAAGGATCCTCACTTTCTTCATCTTCTATCACTGTGTTGCTTATTCTTCTTTTCCAGTTAATTGTTCAGTAATGCCTGTTCAGCCAGTAGCGTGAACGTGGGTCATTGGGTCTGAATATCACCCTGTGTATTAGCACAGACTGAATGAAAGCGTAACCCTACCCTAAATGATCATCCAGTTTTGAAGATGATGATATTCTGGGTATTCTGATTCAGACCCAGAATTAACCTGGGAATTTGAATCAGTTTGATGGCACTGTTAATGACCAGTGCTGTTCATCATTGAATACTTGCTACTAGTACTTTTTAAAAATTTTAAAAATCATTTCTTGTTGAGCAGATGCAAGCAGCCTTAGGGAATTATTCAGGAAAACAGAAAAGGGGTCTTCATATTACTTGTGATTATTTTGGAAGTTGAAACTGAGGAAAGCATTTAATAATGATTACAAACTACACAGTATAGTATGTCGGATTTTTCTGAAACACCCTGTTGGTGCTGAAATGCGAAGACCTTATATTGGAAATCTTTGAAAGAATTCATGTCATTGGCCACCAGAGGGCAGTCTTGTGCTGTAATTTAGAGGAAGCAAGGAGCAGAAGGTAAAGAAACATTTCAGAGCACAGTTTACCCTTGAACAACACGGGTTTGAACTACGTGGACTTACTTACACATGGAATTCTTTTTCAGTAAATACATACTATGTATGATCGGTTGGTTGAGTTCATGGAGCAGTGCATATGCAGGGCCGACTGTAGAGTAATACTTGGATTTTCACCTAGGAGGTGGGTGGCGCCTCTGACCCCTGCTGTTGTTCAGGGGTCAGCTGTACTTGGAAAAGTTCATCCGTCATCACCCTTCCCTGTTGATCCCCTCAAAACCCCCTCCCACTTCTGTCCTGCCCCAGACAACTATCTCACCCACCAGGGGTGTCTTGCTGCCAGTCTCTAATTAATGACAGAAAAATATCTTACTTATTCATACTCATCTCCTAGCAACAGGACTGACCACACAATTTGCAGGTCTCACTATAAAATGAAAATGCAGATCTCGTTGTTCAAACTTTATTGAGAATCTTGAGACTCTTGCAGCATTCAGTGAAGAGCATTCAGAGCATTCAGTGAAGCACCCAACCTTCCTGGGCCTGCACAGGTCACACAGCCACGAAGCCAGCCAGGCTTAAGAATTTGGAAGATGTCTTCCTCTCACCACCCCACCCTCCGTCCTTGCAACATGTCCCTGTGATGCATACCAGGGGGGCTACTTAGGGTAGAGTCCCTGACTGTTTTTCAGAAACAGCATCTCAGGACTGTATCTTAGCACTGGAGGTCTAGTTAGCTCATTGTAAAGATGATTGAACTAAATTCCGACGCGATGAAATGACTGGCCCCAAGTCCCCATCTAGTAGTTGCAGCTTGAACCAGAACTGAGAGTTCATCTGCCAGCCAGGGGCCATCTACAACACAGGCCTCGTGATGGCTATGTTAAGAAAAGAATTCTCTTGTCTCCCCCAGCCAGACTTTGCTCTGTTTTCGCTACAAGAGAAGGGCACAGGAGCGTATTACTTGGTAAACGTTTACTGTGTACCAGTTATGTGCTGAGCACTCTGCTAGATGTTCTCTGTATCATACCGCACTTGATTCCACATCAGAAAATCATTGCTACTTTCCCTGTTTTTCAAGTGAGAAAAATTAAGGCTCAGAACTTGAATTTTAGTCAGTAATGGGAAAGATAAGAGTTTGGGTAAGTATATGTGATTCTAAAACCCATTCCCTTTTTGCCACATCATTCCTGAGTTCTAGGAATGCTGAGTCAGCCTCTATTTCCTGAACATTGGTCTCATTTTTTATAATCTCTAGATGACCTTGGGGACTCTTTTTTTTTTTTTTTTGTAAAAGGTCTTAGTTTATTCTTTCATGAAAAATCTGCACAAGCACCACAGATACAGTCACTGCAGAATCTTTACTCCTTCTTTTTGCCAGCACCAGCATTGCCCTTTGCAGTCCCCCTGACTTTCTTCATTCTGTTCTTGTGTTCCTTTTGCTGTTTTCTTGAGGTCTTTTTCTTCTTATACAAGCCATGTCTTGCAAGCCTATGTTTGGGCTCATTCTTTTTCATGTAATCCAAGGAACTGTAAATCATGCCGAAGCCAGTTGTCTTGCCACCACCAAAATGGGTTCTGAATCCAAATACAAAGATGACGTCTGGTGTGGTCTTGTACATTTTGGCCAGTTTTTCCCGGATTTTTGTTTTAGGTACTGTTGCCTTTCCAGGGTGAAGAACATCAATGACCGTTTGTTTCCGCTGAAGCAGTCGGTTGGTCCTGAACGTCCTAGTCCAGATAGTTACTATGTCGTTCCTGATGGCGGCTGATCTTCAGGCAGCCAGGGAGGAAAACGACCTTGGGGACTCTTAGAAGGTAATCTGTGTTCTTCAGATTTACAGGCCTGCTCCTGCCTTAAGGCCTTTGTTCTAGGGTATTTCCTCCACCTGAAACATTCTTCCCCCAGATAGTCCGTGAAAAGGAACACATGGCAGATAGGTAATAAGGGATCTGATCACCGAGGGTCTTATAGGTCATTTTAGGACATTGGGAGACGTGGCAGTATTTTGTGCAGAGGAGTGACCTCATCTGATTTTGATTTTTAAGGGATCATTCTGACTGCTGTGTTGAAAAAGGCTTTTTAAGGATTATTATAGTAATCAGGGGAAAGATTAGTGGTGACCAGGGTGATAGCAATGGAAGTGATGGGAAGTGATTGACCTCTGGATTTATATATGCATGTGTTAAACATTTTAACCTTTTGTTACAGAAAGTGTCAAATACATTCAGAAGTATGGAGATAAGTTTAATGAATTGCCGTGTTCCTGCTAGGTACCCAGTGAACCTGTCAGATGTCAGCATGCCGGGTAGGTAATAAGGGGATTGTTTTAAACAGCTGCAATAATTGTCAACTGTGACCAACCTCATTTCTTCTGTACTACTCCCCACTACCTCCCCAATCGATTGGGGAGGAAGCAGTTTGAAGGGAACCCCAAGTGTCATATTCCATGTGTAAATTTTCAGCTTTTACCACCCAGCTGCTCCTGTGATAACTGCTCCCGTATTCTGCAGTTTACCCTGCGGCTCTTGCTTGCTCATAGCTTCTCGTACTCATGGGTTTTACTTAATGTCTGCCCTCTTTGTCCTCTTGAAACCTTTTTCCTTCTACCAGTCATTGTGTATTTCTGAAATTCATTCTAGGTTCACTTTGTTGTTCGTTCTGCACAGAGTTCGTAAACTGGCCAGACTGTGTTAGAGAGGCCGCTGTTGGGTCAGACACCCTCTCTCGGTCCTTTCAGTTGGCATGATGTCAAGGTCAGTTTCCCAGAGAGAGGTTATGACAATGGCAGTCACTTAGCAAACAATACGCTTCTCTCCAGTACTAATAAATAGTGGCGATTTAGTGCTAAGAAAGGATATAAATTATTAAAAAAAAAAAAAAAAGTGAGCCTGCAATAAGGCTAGAAATAGATAGGTGCCTGACCACTTAATTGCCATTGTTTCACAGTCTGACCTGACTCCTTTGGAGTGCTATTCTTGGGTGCCATGAAGGAATTAAGGGTTTGTTTTTTTTTTTTTCTTTAAGATATATTTCTTTGTAATAGGCCGAGTAGTAGCATAGATGATAATGTACTAGAGTCAAGGCCTGCATTTAATTCCTGTGTTCCCTGTGGACTCTGCAACGTTAGACAAGCGAGTAAACTCCTCCACAGCGTAGATTTTCCACTGTCAGATGAGATTAATACCTGCCCGTTTCCTCCTTCACATATGTAGACAAGATCCCAGAGGGAGAAGCACTTTGAACCTTTATTTCTAGAAAGTGTGTGAAAACTCCAATTAACTATTTTCAATGTGAAGATTTTAATAAAGTTATGAAATGAACAGTGGATTTACGTTCTTGTTTTTGTGAAAGGTTGTATTTAATCTGTTCACCTTCAACATGTACACATTTTTCTTTCTACATGGTAATGTATCTGCCACGTTTATATACAACTTAGAACAGTACCTGGAACTTGGTAAGAACTGTATAAATGTTAGCTATTACCTTCATCAATGTGAAAAATAGTCAAAACAAAAGTCCATAGAGCCAAATGCTAAAAAAAATTTACCACCTCTGCGCCCTGTATACACACCAACCTAAAATGCAATTGGTTGAAATACATAAAGTAGTGTATTATGTGAGTATATGAGTGAGAGAAGACTTGGGGGGCCCAGAAGAACTGTCAGTGTTGTGTTTATGAATAAAAGAGGAGGGATGACACTTGAATATGACACTTCTGGAGTGTGATGGTCAGCTTGTTCTCAGACGGATTAGTTAGTGTACCTGCTGCATCAGAATCACTTGGAAGTCCTCTAAAATCCCTGGCTCTGTTTTCAGAGATTCTGATCTAATAGGATAATGATAGAGATTAAGCATGCAAACAGTTCTTAAGTTTCTCAGATGCTCCTGAGACTTACCCAGGTCTGGGAATCACTGCAATGTAGAAAAATAAAATGCACTTCTTTACCTTAGCACATCATTTATTTCCTATCATTTTATTCAGAGTGGTATGTATGTATGGAGAAATAAACAAATCCACAGCCAGAGAAAAAGATGGAGGATCTCTATTAAAATCAGAATAGTGATTATCTCTGGCTTAAATATTTATTTTGCATTTGCTTTTCTTAGTTCTAAACTTTCTGGTTAAATATGTATTATTTTTATAATAAATGTTCCTAAGGGAAATACAACCAGTATAAGATTATAAAGACCCCCATGCAATATATGTCTTTAATTTACCAAATGTGGGGAAGAACCCGAAGTAGTCTATTAATGCACATGTCACATAGCTTTTTTTTTTTAAAGAGAGACTACTTTTGAAGCAATGTAGAACAATATTTATTCATATGTTTTTTAAAATGTCACATTCTTTTAGAACACCAGTAAATGTACATCTTAGAAAGTGTAAAACAAGTTAAATCCTAATTAGCTTTTACGTGTTTTTCTTTGGTGAGACTGGAAATATAAGCCATTGACCAGTGCTTATAAAAGATCTAATCAATCAGCAACTATATACCAGATGAGGAGAGGAAAGCATTTCTGGTTCAATATAGATTTTCCATCTAATCTGTGTTCTGGGCAATGCTCCGGGAACAGTGCTCATTCCTTTTTGAAAATCCTCTTGGCTTCCACACCTTCATATGTGTAAGTCTGAAAGGTGTTCACAAACAGAATTTGCCGTTATGATTAAACGCTCAATTAAGAAAAATATTAGTAGTATTTAGCTTCAGAATGTATTTTTTTCTTGTACTTGATAGCCACACTTTTATACAGAAAGAGGAGACAGTCATTTAAAAATGTGTTGGTTTGTAGTCACATTTTCAGTTAAAATAGGCTCAATGTGTTGATGTATGTAAGTTCTCTTCAAATAGGCATCAGAAAATGCCTATACTTTAAAGCTCAGTAAGATTTATGAGAAAAGTAATAGTCTGTTTATTGATGATTTAACTCAGCAACCCCCCCAGATAAAAATCATTGCTATGTAATTATTTTTGTCTTTGGAAAATAACTCACCTGGACCATTTCGCCACCTATAATTTCTCGGACAGTATTTAGTTCATTTCCGTTGTCCAACCGTTTAAATTTTCCGACAAGTTTATCTCCCTCCAGGGTCCAAGCCCCCTGTGTAAGATTTCAAAATAATAATAATAAAAAAAAATTGTTAAGGGTCTTACATGTGTCAGGCACTGCCCTGAGGCCTACAGATCTACTTCTTCTAACTTCACTGTAACCCTGTGAAGTAAATGTTTATCTCCATTGCACAGATGAGAAAACTGAAATGCAGTAATTAAAGTCACAAAGCCCAGCTTGCACCTAGGGTACCGGGGCGCTAGAGTACATGCGGTAAGCATCTTGCCCCATAGTTTCCAAATGCTGAATTGTAAGGCAGAGATGGTCGGGACTTCTCTACTCAGTCTTTCACATTAAAAAGAGTGTTCTAAGTTTAATCATGGTTCGTATTAGTTTCACAGAGAAGTTAACAAGCTTGTGATTGTTTTAATTTATGTAATTGTAGTAACAGTTAAAACACAACCATAATTGATAAAATATTTGACAGATTAATTTTCATTGCAAACATGTTTAATTTAACCAGAAAAAGTTCTAAGTGGAAACAAGTTTTTTTAAAAATCAGTTGAAAAATGTGACCCCGTTTTATATCTTAAATAGTAAAAAGTGAATTCCCAGTGACCTACATTGTAACATTGGACCTTTCTATTTGGTCATACATTCATTCACTAATTTATTCATTTATTTTATCATTTCAATTACATGTCTATTATATTTAAGTTAGATAGCCCTAGAAGCTTTTATTGCTGTCAGATATATTGAAAACACTGAAATTTTTTTATGAATAGGTGTATACTCAGTCATTCAAAGGATATTTTTCTAATATCTTATTATCTAGATATTATCTTGTTGTTTAATCCACGTTCTTTATAGATACCTATGAAAATCAAAACATTGTTTTTAAATACTCTGCTAACTTGTATGATGTTTGATATGGATAAACTCCGTTGACTGCTTCAGTAAATGAAGGAGACCTACATTCATTAAGCCATCCAGTGGAAGAAAACTGAGATTATTTTTGTAGTATGCAGAAAAATCAGGAATGCTTTGCTTATAAAAAATTTCTTACACTGAGTTCAGTTCCATCTGCGAGGCTGTAATTAAAAGTGACACCAAGCTCAAAAATAATTTCGATGCTTCGAAAAGTGCTTGATTCTTTGACTGTGAATTTATTTCCTTCTTGTGTGATTATCAGTTTCAAATTATCATGAGCTGCAAGCTTCCTTTTCACCACATTAATACCTGCAAAGGGAAGGAGGTTGGAGGAGATAAAGTCAAAATGCCATGGAAAGTGCTACTTTTCCAAGTTCTGTTGTAACTAGTTAATTAACCAGTTAATATTTTGTGGGTGAAGAGGAATACTTGATGATATTGCCTTTGCACAGGAGCATTCAGATTGCTTCTGTAGAAAAAGTTCAAGCTCCATCATATCAAACTATTTTTCTAAAACTTAAAAAAATTAAATGAAGCGTAGAATTGTAGAATCTTAGAACTGACTAATTGTTTAAAAAACTATAAATATTTTTGTTTCAATGTTAAGTAAGTCAAATTCCAGGGATATCAAATGAAGGATTAAGAAAGTACATTTATATATTTATAAGGATATACTTCTTTAATTCCACGTATATGGTACACTTTCTTTTTTAATGTCCCTTTGCTTTCCATGGCTTTAATATTTTGAATTTCATAATTCTCTTTGCTTATTGTGGTATTTCTGTTATAGAAATGAGAAAATTCGCAAATATTACAGTCAAATTCATTATGATAAGAATTGACAAATTCCATAAATTTGAACTTGGAATCCCTAAATTACAGGATATAATTGATGCAGATTTTTATTTTTAGGGAATGACAAATCTTTTTGCTCATAGTGTTCAGTGTATGGGCTGCCAGAGTATTGGTGTAGATATTAAAATTTTAAATTAAAACTTCTGTAGAAACTATATGCCGTCATGAGATTATTCCAAAAGTGCTGTAAGTCAGAGGAAGAGAATTAAGTCTCATTTGTTTTCATTGCTCTATTTTATGGCCTTTGTTTTTCCATCCCATAGAATTTAATATTTTAAAGTATAAAAGTTTGGAGAAGGAAATGGCAACCCACTCCAGTATTCTTGCCTGGAGAATCCCATGGACAGAAGAACTTGGCAAGATACAGTCCATGGGGTTACAACAGTCAGACATGACTTAGCAACGAAACAACCACCACAATAAACTAGTAACATAAAAGAAAAAAAAAAGTATAAAAGTTATCATTATGCTCTGCCATATTTTACTTTCTAAACAAAAAACTATCAATTTTCAGTCACCACTTAACATAAATGAAACATATCTGGATGTTTTTTGTGTTTTAGAGAATAGTGTCCAAGAATCTTTTCTTCCACTGGTGAGAGTATATTCTTTCTAATGTAAGAAGTGAGACTGTGGTTTTCCCTACTCTGAACCAGCACCCATTCTTGATCCTCACTAGCACGACAGGTGCCATTGCCTAAGCCTTGAGGTTTAGAAGGAGTTAAAGATGTCTGTGAAAAACGAAAGAACAAGACGTGAAAGTATTAAGCACTTACCCATTTTTTCCATGAACTTTTCATAGTTCTCATTTCGGTCTACCTTCCAAGTACCATCAAACGCCATGGTCTCCAGTTAATTCAGCCTCTGAGCAATCAGAGATTCAGGTCTGTCCTTAGGAGAGAATTTATTCTATTTCTTATCTTAGAGCCAGCTTCATATTGTGATGTGGAAGTTTAAAGTTCAAGAGGTCACCTGACTTCATTAATGCCAAACCTTCTGGTTTCTATAAATTTCTTAGCTCCCCTTCTGAAATTCAACCGCAATAAACATGATAAGCATACATATTCTATCTTAAACTATGACTTATGGGTACAATTATTTCAAGAGTTTAGAATGCATACTATATGAAGATAGTTTTTCTGCTTACAGGTTCAAAGTGCACACTTTGTTGGATGTAGCATAATTTAATAGGTTCTGGAAAATGAATCTATTAATGACCTATCCCTTTTTTATAATAGCAATTACCTTGTAACTAATGTAAGACTTCATGATCAAATACAGCTGAAAAGTTGATGTTAATAGGATAGTAAGACTGAAATTGTATTTATTTTTCTAATATGTCCTTTTGCATTGTGTTTTTGGGTTTCCAGGACTTTGGGTAAATATCCTGGCACCTGGTACAGTGCATGACACAACAATAGGGAACCATTATATTTTTGTTTTGGTCTTAAATGATGGTAGGCCACTGAGAAAAATTTCAAGAGGTAGAAACGTGGATGGATGTCATGAAAACTCCCATAAGTGAAAGAATTTTTAGACATCTGCCACGTGCAGAAAAAACAAAAGCCAGATGTCAGCTGTGCCATTAACTAAAACCATTCCTGTATTTACTCTCCCAGTACTCAAACCACTTTGATATTTGGTTAAGAAAATCCTTGTTTTTCTACTCTCTATTAGTAAGTCACCTAAAGTGTGTTTATTTAGGTAGTTTTTAACACATACTAGTGATTAACTTGGGACCAGATAGGACTTGGATTTGCCTGTTAAGATCAGCATCATGCTCTAGCTCCCTTTGGAAATACAACTTGCCTCTCTGTGATCTCGCAGTGACTGGAATAAAACTGCCTGACTCTGGAAGGTGGGGAGGGAAAAGCTAGAGTGGCTTCTCACCACTGTTCACCTAACAGTGCCCTTTACCTCATGGCTACCTTGAGCTTCCCAGGAAGAGCAGAATAAGATTAGATGAGGGCAAATAGCACTTGGACTCATGCAGAACTGCTAACAAATGGCCATGTTAAACTTTCATCTTCCATTTATCAGTAGCAGTAACCAAATTTAAAATCAGCTAGGAATCCCTGTTATCTCTATAGCGTGGAGTCACTGCCATTTTAAAAAATGATTAGACGGAATTTTTAACATTACCCGTTTCCCTGCAGCTTTCAAACTCTGTATTCCCCGTTTCTTACCACTTACCTGGACCCCATCTGGAAAAGGTTGTGCAGAACCAGTGACCAGTTTCCCCTACGCACCTCTCATGCTGATGATGCCATTGGGCCAGTCAGCTGAGGGCCGACTCAGTCCTTTATTTTCTTCTTTGATGATACTAGAAGATTTAGGGTCCTGCTCCTGCAGCTTGGGAAAGTGGGTGGGTTAGGTGTGCTTGGGGTGGGTGGTGGTGGGCGGTACTGATGCTATAGAGGTTGATGCTATCTGGACTCCACAGTCCACATCAGCCACTGAGTTGTGCGAAAGTAGTGGACATCAACAGAAGCTCCTGTTCATCCCTGTCCCATTCCTCCAGGAGAAAGTACAAACCACACTCCTTAACGTGGTTTCTGAAGCCCCTTCTTATATCTTGGGTCTCCTATCATTCCTTACTGCGGACTCTGAGATTTAATACATTGAGCTTCTTGCACTCCTCAGTCTTGTGAATGTGCCTGCTTTCTGTTGCTTCAGGTCATCTGGGTGCTCCAGGAAACATGTCCTGAACCACAAAGATTGGGTCAGTTGGGTCCACTTCTTTCAAGTGCAGTGACCTTCTAAGAGTCTCAGCATAGCTCGTAAGAGACAAAAGTAGTTGATGCCTGACCATCATTTGTATCATCATGAAGTACAGAGAGCGATATCATGATGAGGGACAATATAATGCTTCAGGCTCATTTACAAGAAATGGCTTTCTAGAAATCACAAAAACCCTTTTACCCTGTTGTAAAGCCAAAGGGAAAGTTTTTCTATTTTTTAAAATATATATCACTTATGGGAAATAGCATTTTCAGAATTTCTGAACCCTGCTTTTCAGTGCCAAGTTATTTAACTTTTACATGTCAGAGAAAGGTAGTGGTCTCTCTGAGGGCCCTGTAAGAGAAGGATTTGGGGGACAGATGTAAGGAGCAACAGAAAAGTCTTAAGGCTACTGTCCAGTTCCTAGCAGTGCATGGGGAATGAGGGAGAATTCTGAAGTTTGCCTACAGAGTTTACTTCATTCTGTTTTAACCATAAGCCTCTAAATTTTAGAAATACTAAGACCTTTTAAATTATGTTTTAGGATTTTGTGCATGAGATTGCTGGCTGATTTTATTCCAAAAAAGGCTCTAGAGTTACAGCAGTATACAGGGAGGCATCTACCAACTAATGGTGAGTGCAGCCTGCTAATTGTCATTAATAACAAGGCAGCCGTTTTTAAATTTTAATTGGAGGCTAATTACTTTAAATATTGTGGTGGTTTTGCCATACATTGACATGAATCAGCCGTGGGTATACATGTGTCCCCATCCTGAACCCCCTCCCACCTCCCTCCCCGTCCCGTGGCTGATTCATGTCAGTGTATGGCAGGGTCCTCCCCGTGCACCAGCCCTGAGCACCCTGCCTCATGCATCGAACCTGGACTGGCAGTCTGTTTCACATATGGTAATATACATGCTTCAATGCTGTTTTCTCAAATCATCCGACCTTCGCCTTCTCCCACAGAGTCCAAAAGTCTGTTCTGTACATCTTTGTCTCTTTTGCTATCTCACATACAGGGTTATCATTACTATCTTTCTAAATTCCATATATATATGCGTTAGTATGCTGTATTGGTATTTATCTTTCTGGCTTACTTCTCTCTGTATAATAGGCTCCAGTTTCATCCACCTCATTAGAACTGATTCAAATGAATTCTTTTTAATGGCTGAGTAATATTCCATAGTGTATATGTACCACAGCTTTCTTATCCGTTCATCTGCTGATGGGCATCTAGGTTGCTTCCATGTCCTGGCTATTATAAACAGTGCTGCGATGAACATTGGGGTACACATGTCTCTTTCAGATCTGGTTTCCTCAGTGTGTATGCCCAGCAGTGAGATTGCTGGGTCATATGGCAGTTCTATTTCCAGTTTTTTAAGGAATCTCCACACTGTTCTCCATAGTGGCTGTACTAGTTTGCATTCCCACCAACAGTGTAAGAGGGTTCCCTTTTCTCCATACCCTCTCAGCATTTATTGTTTGTAGACTTTTGGATAGCAGCCATTCCAACTGGCGTGAGATGGTACCTCATTGTGGTTTTGATTTGCATTTTTCTGGTAATGGGTGATGTTGAGCATCTTTTCATGTGTTTGTTAGTAAGGCAACCATTTTATAGGATCCACATGTGTTGGTTGAATGATGTTGCGAGAGGGATTTATGACTGCGTCTTCTGCCTTATATGATTATTTTTGATATTTATGTATCTGGCTGTGCCGGGTCTTAGTTGTGGCATGCTGGATCATTGGTTGTGGCACTCGGGGTCTTTAGTTGTGGTGTGTGGGGTCTAGTTCCCTGACCAGGGATCGAACCCAGGCCCCCTGCATTGGGAGCTTGAAGTCTTAACCCCTGGACCACCAGGGAAGTCTCTGCCTTATCTTCTTTAATCTGGGTCTGTTCACCCAAATGAGTCTCCCTCCAGAAGTTTGAATGAGAGGTTGTCATTTCCTGTGCCCCTCATAGCACAGTCAGAGGAAGATAGGTTTGCATTATCTCAGCTCCCCATTCTCACATCCATTATGTATCTGCCTTTTTTTTTTCTTTTTTAGTTCTACCAGTTTATTGCTACCAGCCCATCTCCCTCCACCCTCGTGCATGTGTACTCAATCATGTAACCCCATGGACTACAGCCTGTCAGGCTCCTCTGTCCATGGACTTTTCCAGGCAAGAATGCTGGGGTGGGTTGCTGTTCCCTTCTCGTCTAAGGAAATCTTTTCCTTTGAGACCATTTCCATTTGGCTGTCAGCTTCTAACCGACTTCATCATCATTATCTACCATCTAACCCATCTTATCATCATCTACCGTCTGTCCCCATTTATCACTGTTATCTACCATCTATCACAGAGAATCATGGCACTGGGCTCACCATCATCTCATTGTCCTGCTGTGTCTTGCCATCACCCTGGGTGAGCTCAAAGTCCATGTGGATAAGATACTTGTCACTCTGGCCTCATGTTACACTAATCTCCTAATCTCTAACAACCTTTAGCTTTCCTACACTTTATCCTACATCCAGGGCTACAGCCTGTGATTTGTCACGACTAGAGATTTTCCCTCTGTGAAATTAGCATGCCGCTCTGTGTTCACAGATTTTCATCGCTCGGCTGCTTCATTTTCTTCACACATCAGTTCTTAGCTTGACGAGAACTTCAGTTATTTCCTCTATGTTCCCAGTTTGGAGCCGCCTCCTGGTTTCTTTACATCCTCTATCCAGTCGATACATGTTGGCAATAAAATACTTCCTTTGCTGTCCCAAGTGCTATTTCACATGCATGGTTTCTAGTTTCAGCTGAATCATACCCTGCCTGGCAAGACTTTTGTATACCCCAAAATAAAGAATAAAATGGCAAGCAATAACTCACTCAATTTGTGTGTTCTCATTTTCAGTATTACCTGTTACTACTTTATTTACTTCTCTAAATTCTTCACCCACGTATTCACTCAACATATATTGGAGTTCTCATTATGACCTAGGCACTGGGCTAAATTACAGAGATAGAATCATGAACACATACAGTTTCAGTCAAGAGAAAGCAAGACTTGAAATTAGAATAGTTTGGTACCTGCAGAGATTTATTTTCCTATCTGTATGTCTTTGTTTTATATTTATTTGGCTGAGGTGGTATCTTTTCTCCTTCACATTATGATAATCCAGTTTCTGTCATCTTAAGAAATGAAAAGAACTCTCTGTGGATTCTCTTGGCATTTCTATATCCTGCTCCATCTTATTCCTTCCCCCTTATAGCCAGTCTTCTTGGAAAAGTGATCTGTGCTGTCTCCATATTCTTACCTTCTATTAGAGTCTCAGTCTGCTGCAGTGGAGCTTTCATATCCACCCCTCCACTGAAACTACTCATTAA